ACAAGACATTCTCTAACAACTCAATAATAAAATAAACCAAACAATCAAATTAAAAAATGGGCAGAAGACCTGAACAGACATTTCTCCAAAGAAGAAATACAGATGGCCAATAGACATATGAAAAGATGCTCAAGGTCACTAATCATCAGAGAAATGCAAATTAAAACCACAATGAGATATCACCTCAGACCTGTCAGAATGGCTATCATCAATAAATCAAAGAACAAGTGTTGGCGAGGATTTGGAGAAAAGGGAACTCTCATACATCGTTGGTGGGACTGCAAACTGGCACAGCCATTATGAAAAAGTCTGGAGGTTTCTCAAAAAATTAAAAATGGATATACCTTTTGACCCAGGAATTGCACTTCTGGGTATTTATCTAAAGAAAACCAAAACAATAATTCGTAAAGATCTATGCACTCCTATGTTCATGGCAGCACAATATATAATAGCCAAGATATGGAAGCAATCTAAAAGCCCATCAATAGACGATTGGATAAAGAAGTTATGGTTCATATATACAATGGAATATTACTCAGCCATTAAAAAAAAATGAAATCCTACCATTTGCAACAACAAGGATGGACCTAGAGGTTGTTATGTTCAGTGAAATAAGTTAGACAAAGATAAATACCATGTAATTTCAGTTGTATGTGGAATCTAAGGAGCAAAAAGAAAATAGACTAACAAATATAGAGGACAATCTGGGGATGGCCAGAGGGGAGGGAGGTTGGGGGACTGGGAGAATGGGGTGAAGTGTTAAAGAAGTACAAATTAGTAGCTGATAGATGGTCATGGAGATGGGAAGCAGGGCATAGGGAATGCAGTCGGCATTAATGTAATGGCTAGATGTAGACCGAGAGGAAAGAAAGAGCAATTAGGAGGATCGTTTTATAAACTATATAAATGTCTAACCAATGGACTGTATACTTAAAACTAATAATAAAATTAAAACGACATTCTCTAATAAAAGTTTTGAAATTTAAGATTCTCTTAAATGTAAGCAAAAAAAGACTTCTTGCATTTTCCTACCCTAAGGTATAACTAATACTACTACAACATTGTTAAGAGAGACGCATTGCCTATAAGGCAGCTCAAATATGATTTTAACTATGCCAAGACAAAGTACCAGACTTCGCCAAGTACTCAGAAAAAATTTTTAAAGTTCATTACCCATACCAAGACGTTTCCTACTTGACTGGTTATAAATCTATCAGTAGTAAGAGATAAACATTTTTGCAGTAAGTCCTCCTGAACCCACACAGATAAACTATCATAATGACCTTTAGTTTTAGAAGGTTAAAGTACAAAAGCTGATACATATTTACTTTGGAGTATAACTAAATAGTTCTAATTCTTTCTACTGCTGATGGCCCCAATTAACAAATAAGTTATATCTGCCTATAGAATGCAAAAAGAATGCAAATTATATTACTCTGTTAATTTATCTTTGAAGAGAACAGAATTTTATGCAAAGTACTACAGTGCTCACCAGAATAGTTGCCAAAATATTCTATTTCAGCTTTACATCTCTATTTTGAGAGTATCAAAAAAATACATTTCTTTTTAATATTCAATATATAGTCGACCAAATCCACAAGCAGAAATTGATTGTCATTAACACACTTCATAGAATCTTAATAGTCAATACACTAAATGGTCAACTGATTTTTGACAAGGAAGTCAAAATAATTCAATGGGAAAAAAAAGGTCTGCAAATGGTGCTGAGGCACTGGATACGCAAAAGAATAAACTTAGACCCCCTACTTCATACCATATACAAAAATTAACTAAAAAATTAATCAAAATCCTAACCCTAAGAGCTAAAACTATAAAACTCTTAGAAGAAAACTTAGGCATAAATATTCATAACCTTGGATTAGGCAATGGTTTCTTACCAATGACAAAAGCTCTGAGGAAGTAATGATTGAGATCTAAATGAAAAAGGCAGGCATACATAGTATTCCAAGGAGTGGGAATAACAGGAACAAAAACTAAGACAGAACCAGCTTAACACAAGCAAAAGACAGAGAGATGAGATCAGAGAGGTACGTAGGGGCCGAGTACTAGCATGTGTGGCAAAAGCTACTGACAGTAAGGTCACGGCAGTGCTCTAGGGGGCGCATTCACATAGTAAGCTAAGATGTGAAAGGTATCCCCTAAAGTGGGGCAATGAAGCAGCTCAGATTACAATGCAGACTTCCCTGACAGCTCTTCAAAAAGTCTTGTGTGTGTTTAATTAAACTTTATGTATATTTCCAATAATTATATTAGCCAGTGAAATATATATACTGACTTCTTAAAAATGGCATCTCTCAGGTTTTATTTGCATTTTGACCAAACAATTAAATCCTCACAGAAATCCAATTGTTTATATGACTTCTTTTTTCACAGGTATACCTTGGAGATATTGCAGGTTTGTTTCCAGACCACTGTAATAAAACAAATATCACAATAAAACCAGAGGTAATCTTTTTGCCAGTAGAGGGTCCTGCCTTCAATTTGTAAAAAAAAAAAAAAAAAAAAAGCAACATCTGTGAAGCTCAATAAAGCTAAGAACAAAACAAGATATGCCTGTATTCTTTTTATTTTCAATTTTGTTCCATTTCCTTTAATAGATATTACATTCACAAGGTTCAAAATTCAAAAAGGTAAAGTCTCCCTCCTACCCTGCCTCTCAGACACATACTTTCCATTTTTGGAAGCAACAAATGTTATCAGTTAATTCCTTGTGTAGTCTTCTTGTGAGATTTTATATATCTTCAAGCAAATAAGTATATATTTTTTTCTCTCTTTTACTATATAAAGTGGTAGCATACTTTACACAATGTCCTACACCTTACTTTTTTCACTGAATTATCATGACAATTGTTTCGTATCAGGACATAAAGTTTTCCCATTTTTAACAGCTGCATAGTCTTACAGTTTGTGGATACTGTATTTTATTGATAACCTTTAATTGGAAAATATTTGGAAAAAAATGCAGCTCCCAGGGTAAAAGTTGTTAATCTTACATATATGGAAGAGCTTCAGAAAATATGTAAATCCCCTAAAATGATATATATGAGCCCAAATGCATTTCTGTGGGCTCAAATTTGCATACCATTCAGCACATTATCAAAGGGAAGTGTGACTCGAACAAAAATTTAGGACTACTGAACTACAACTTGTGCACAAATGTTCAATAAACATTTGTGGAACAGAATTTTAGTCTTAAGAATTTTAGTCTTAATTTTTGTACTAGAGACAGAAAGATTAAATTAAATACCAATATAATCTAAAATTCTTAATTAATGAACATTAACTGCTATTTCCTATCGACAAACAGTAAAACTGACCAATTTTACTGCTATTGCTTTTCTTAAAAAGCCTTTATTTTTCATCTGCACCATGAACTAAGACCCCAAATTTAAAATACCTAAGTGATCAGGTGAAAATGATCAAATGAAAGTTGACTATATAAGCTGTTGTTTGTAGTAACTGATAATATCAGAGGCATCTATGATGCCCCTCAAACTCTCTCTAATGTTCCATAAAGAGTCCTTCCTATGAAAATTAGATCGTTAGTAGCATGTGGTTGTATAACGCCTACCACATACCAGGCACCAAAATGTAAGCTTCATATATGTTATCTTGTTTAATCCTCAAGACATTCATTCAAGGCAGCTATATTTTCTCCCCTTTCAGAGGCAAGAAAATGGAGGCTTACCAAGGTTTAAGTTAAGCTATTTATTTGCCTAAAACCACGAAATTGGCAGAGCAAGACTAAAACATTCCCTCACCTTCAAGCCTCCAAATCTCATAGTGCCTGAAGTTCAAAATATAATTATGATCATCTCATGGAGGTGGGATAATATTGTGGCCAGAAAAATCTAAGTTGTAATACTAGTTCAACCATTTATTAGTTGTATGACAAATTGTTTAAATTCTGAAAGCCTCCTTTACCTTCTGTAAAACTGGACTGCTGTGAAGTTTAAACGAGAAAAGTTATGTAAAACAAACAACTCACATACTGACCTGAAGATACATGGTAACAAGGTAGCTACCATCAATTTTTCATCCTTCTTTGAGAACACAAAGAATTGCAAAGTTTCCCAATTTGGCATAAAAATTCCTACCCTGTCTCCCAGAATGCTGGCATTGTGAAAAATAAGCTGAAGAATGAAAAAAATGATGTCTAATTATTAAGTAGATTCTGGCTCAATGGAACATCAGAAATTGTTCTTTAAATATTTCAAACATAGACCTGTATCGCCACATCAACAAGAATGTGTTTGACGGCTGCATAATTTCCCTCTTAATTTAAATGCTTTATGTAGAATTATGCACTGAGGGTTTATTTTTAAGATTTTAACATCAAGTGATGAGCGATGACAGCTGTCAAATATTACATCTGTTTCTACTCCCAGTGGTTCCTGCCCCTCCGTCCCGCGCCGGTACACCATGTTAACCCTTTGACTTCGGTGAGCTCATCTAAACAAAATAAAACATCCTCGGTCTCAAAACAGCTAAGTGATGTGCATGTGGAGCTGTTAATGACAAAAGTTGAAGGCCTGAGATAACTTATTTATAAGAAGGGAAAGTTTGTTACATCCTTCTCCCTTATGACCCTAAAGCTTGAACAGGACTCAAAAGCTTTAAGGCAGGACCTAAACCGAGGTTCGGGGCAACGCTAAAGAGGAAAACTTAACCGCCGCGCCCCAAAATCAGTTTCACGACTCTCTTTCTTCCTCCCTTCCCCCCAAGAGCGGAAAAAAAGTGAAACTTCCTTGCAGCACCAATCACCCTGCGCACTGGCTACCGCCGAGATCCAGAACCAGCGGTGCAAAAACACGCTGCGCGACCAATGCCCAGTTTATGGTCCCTTCTTCGCTTTGGCTCCCATTCGGAGCCACGCACAGCCGTCCTCCCCCACCCCTCCATACCAGGAGTGCCCCGTCCACACCCAGCCTGCAAACTCTCCAAGCCCCGGAGCCGCAGAGCCTCCGCCTGGGACTCACCATCGCAGCCCAAGTCTTAAGGCGCGGGCGGGCAGGGTGGGAATCCGTTACCGGGGCTCGGGATCCATTCGCGCCAACAACTTCTCCCTCCAAGTAGAAGGAGGTGGAGGCAGCGGCGCCTGGTGATGACGTCAAGAAGCGCACAGCTTCCCAGCCCGAGGCGGGAAGTGCGACGTGGGCACCCGTGCGGCGCTGATGCCGGCGGGCCGCAGCCATCGCGAGGAGCGACGGGACCGTGGCCCGCGCTCAGAGTTGCGCCTTCGGCTTTGGGTGGGGGCGCTCTAGTGGAGGTTTCGAGATTGGATTTCTCCGAAAGGCGAGTTAACCAGGTTCCTCCCGGTTTCACATCGCAGAGTGCACTGCTCACAGTAGCTTTCAAATGTTTTTACTTTAGATGTACGTTTTACATCTGTTTAGATATCCATTCTGAAACAAGAGTTTCACCAAACAGTATTTACCCTGATTTTAATATTTGACCCACCGACTTCCCCCGCCCCGCTCCCCCCGCTTCCCTACTTACTATCAAGTGGAGACTCACGTTTTGAAAATGACTAGGCTAAAGGACAATCTTTACGTTGTATAATTTCAGAGCAAAAAACAGACTCATAAAATCAGCTAGTCATCACCACCTACTCTGTTTTACAAATGAAAAATTAGAGGCTCAACAAGCTAAGGGACTCAGCTTTATTCCAAAACTAAACCAGACTAGGAATCCAGACCTCCAAATTCCCAAACCTGCGCTGCTCAGTTCCTTAAAAAGCAGAGGTGTGTGCGAAACGAAGCCATAAACAAGGTGTATCTTTATAGAAAAACAATGATCTCTAAAGCATTTGGAGTGAAAAGTTTTATATCAATAGATAAGCGCTAGGATTGTGGAATAGAATGATATTTGCATATAATTTTAAGAGAAAAACATGAGACCCGAAGGAGTTTGGTAGGAAGAGCAATGTTTCCAGCCTCTTCCCTAGACTTTCAAGTCCTTGATCACTCACTGCTGTTAGGGCTTGCACTGTATAACACCAATATCTCTGCAATGAAAGATAGCAAAGCCTCTGGACTACAACAATGGTTAAGCATGGAGAGCTTGTATTTATTAAAGGCCCACTGTAATCTGTGTCAGCCTTGCAACTATGGACTAGCCTAGTTTAGCTCATTTAATCCCCACCTGACACTAGCTACTGTTACAAAGGAGTAAACTATTACTCGTGAACAGGGCCTCATTGTATGGGTCCCTTTGAAGCCAGTGTGCTAGGATTCCCAGCCCCACTACATTCTAGTTGTGTGACCTTGGGCAAGTTACTGTGCCTCAGTTTCCTCATCTGTAAAATATGATTAATAGTACTATCTCCTAGGCTTGTTATGAAATTGTTCCTGGCACATAAGCAGATAATTTTTAAGTCAATAATAATTATTATTACTACACAAGGCTAGGTATTATCAAGGAAGATAGTTCCAAAAATGAATATATCTACTTCTTAATTTTGCTTAGAAATACTTGATTGGGGAGAAGTGGAGTCATTAGATCTTTTGAGTGATCAAGAAAAATTATTAACCTACTCCCTAGAAAAATGTACATAGCAAACACATCACATAAATCTTTGCCTATATAGATCCATAAGTAAATCCGTATATGAATCCATATATAAAAATATCATCATACCAATTAAATAAATGGGCCTGGCTAAGAGGAAGTTGTACTTTCCACTCTTGAAATAAAAGGAGCACCAGCAAGCAAGGGCACAATGAGACCCCTTTACAACACCATCCCCATAGGAAGGCGGGTGGGGGCTACACCCTGCCCAGGCTAGAGGGGTTAACAGACAGAATATCTGAAGGTCATGGCTGGAGACACCCCCCACCCCACCCCCCCGCAAATGTGATGAAAGACATTCAAGAAGCTCAACATATTCCAATTAGGATGAACTCAAAGCCACCCGTACCATACATAAAAGATAAAAACTCAAATTAGAATTAATAGCTGAAGTATAATTTTAGCTGGTGGCCAATCAACAATTGGCCACCAGCTAAAAAGAATTAATAGCTGAAGTATAATTTTAGCTGGTGGCCAATCAACAATTCTCTCTCTGATGGAAATAACATTGTTATCTTACTGTCTCTAACCAGGGAATAATAATTATACTTCCTAATTGAACAGTAATTTAAATCAGATACTATTTTACTTTAATATACTTGACCTTTGTATTTATTATGCGTTGACTTCTAATCTGGCTTAGGAAGACAGTTATCGTGATGATCTCAAAATATAAATCATGTCCTTGGTATTTTTGAATATCTTGAATGTATTCCTTTTTTGCATAGTGGGTTTGCCTAGGGACACATAGCTATAGGCTTTTTCTAAGCTAAGGATAATGAGAATTTTTTTTTTATCTTATGAAGTCCAAATATCCAACAAAATGTAAAGCACTAAAAAGAAAAATTTTAAGCTATAAAGAAAAAGATGCGCCTTCATATATAGATTCTGAGTAAAACAACCAGCACGTGCAAAGTGGATAAATGTTATTCTTGGGATTACTATAGTAACAAAGGCATATGAAATTATAGCTATATGGATATCTTGCTTTTGTAAATATTATATGTGGTTGCTATGATTGGCAGAATTAATATAAGTAGTAAAATTAGTAAAGAGGAAGAAAATAGGTTTATTACTTTTATTTGGAGTTCCACCAGTATTTTAATTGCTAGCACGAATGGTTAACTTCTATCTTTTAAACGTTTGGGGGAAAAAAAGTTTTACATATGTTTTATATATGAAGACATGAATTATAAGTTTTTGCATACTTTTTTGGTAAACAACAATTTTCACTTTCTGTTATTAGATTTAGAATCTAATGTTTTTATTAAACTACCTTTACAGTACAAAGTTCCCAAAATGATTTTGAGTTCATTTGGTGAATAGGAGTAGGAGGGGCAGAAAATATATTGTTATGAATGTATTCTCTTCTATAAACAATAGTTTAATATGGTTATCGTGACATGTGTGCTTTCTTTTCTGTGTTATACTTAATATGTAGAGGAAATATTGGGCAGTGATAACAATGCTAGCTCCATCAGAGGGAGAATTGTTTGTAGACCACTAGTTAAAATTATACTTCAGCTATGAATTCATTCATATCTTGAGTTTTTATCTTTCATGTATATTAGTTTGGATGGCAAAGAATACAAGTCGAATATACTACAGATAATTTTTAACTGTTTTTCAAACAAAACTCTAGTTCTCTGATGGCTTTTCTCACAGTTCAAAAAACTTGTTTTAGTTATAAATCAATTTGTCATTTTTACTTTTTATGGAAGAATATAATTACCTTTTTATCATTTGTAAATTTTTAAGGTCAATGTTTTCTATCTGTATAAGACCTTTATTTCTCTGATTTTGCTTCAGTTTTAAATAATTCTTTCCCCAACAATGCACATCTCTTAGAGACCTATTTGATATATAAGAATATGTAATGATATTAATACATATAGTATGTGTAAAAATTCATTGCCTTAAATATAGTTATTTCATTTCCAAAAAAATTGAGATTGCTTGTTAATTTTGTTACTTTAATTTCCTTTTAGAAACAATACCATATAGATATCAATATACCATCTCATACTTTCTCTTAAAAAAAATTCTACTGTGAAATATAACATACATTCAGAATTATACATAAAACATAAATACATGACTTAGTAAGATATTTTTAAGCAAACACTGTGTAACCACCACCCAAATCAAGAAATAAAATGCTTTTAGCTTCCCCAAAGTCCCTGTGTGCCCCTTCCCAATTACCAATCTTTCCAGAGATACTGTCTTGACTTTTAAAAAATGTATTTATTTAAATTAGTTTCAGGTATACAGTACATTGGTTAGACATCTATATAGTTCATAAAATGATCCTCCCATTTGCTCCCTCTCTCCCCTGGCCCTCCACCTAGCCATCATATTAATGCTAACTGCATTCCCTCTGCCATGCTCCCCATCCCTGTGACCTTCTATCAATTACTAATTTGTACGTTTTTAACACTTCAGCCCTCCAACCCCCACCCCTCTGTCTGTCACCAAATTGTCCACTATATTTGTAAGTCTGTTTTTGATTAGTTTGTTCTTTTTGTTCCTTACATTCCGCATATAAGTGAAATCATGTGGTATTTATCTTTCTCTTTCTAACTTATTTCACTCAGCATAATGACCTCTAGGTCTATCCATGTCGTTGCAAATAGTAGGATTTCATTTATTTTAATAGCTGAGTAATAGTCCATTGTATATATGAACCATAATTTCTTTATCCAATCGTCTGTTGAAGGGCATTTAGGTTGCTTCCATATCTTCGTTATTGTAAATTGTGCTGCCATGAATATTGGGGTGCATAGATCTTTAAGAATTATTGTTTTGGTTTTCTTTGGATAAATACCCAGACGTAGAATTGCTGGGTTGTATGGTAATTCTATTTTTAATTTTTTAAGAAATCATCATACTGTTTTTCATAATAGCTGTACCAATTTACATCCCACCAACAGTGCACATTTTTTTTCTCCACATTCTTGTCAACACTTGTTGTTTGTTGATTTATTGATAATAGCCATTCTGACAGGTGTGAAGTGATATCTCATGGTGGCTTTGATTTGCATTTCTCTGATGATTAATGATGTTGAACATATATCATGTTTCTGTTGGCTATCTCTATGTCTTCTTTGGAGAAATGTCTTTAAGTCTTCTTCCCATTTTTTAATTAGAGTTTGTTTTGTTTCATTTTTGATGTTGAGCTGTGATTTTTTTTATATCTGAAAAGAAATTCCTGTTAGTAATAGCAGAGAGTTTACAGCCTATGTTTTCTTCTAGAAGTTTTATGGTTTCAGGTCTTACATTTAAGTCTTTAATCCATTTTGAGTCTATTCTTGTATACAATGTAAGAAAGTGGTGCAGCTTCTTTTTTTTGTATGCATCTGTCCAGTTTTCCCAACACCATTTATTGAAGAGACTGTCTTTACCCCATTATATATTCATAGCTCCTTTGCCATATATTAAGTGAGTGTACAGGCGTGGATTTATTTCTGGGCTCTCTATTCTGTTCCATTGGCTGATGTATCTGTTTTAATTACTGTAGCCTTGTAGTATAGTTTGATATCAGGTAGTGTGATACCTCCAACTTTGTTCTTATTTTTCAAGATTACCATGGCTGTTCTGGGTTTTTTATGGCTCCATATAAATTTTAGGATTATTTGTTCTA